ATGACCTCAACACCAATTCAATTCCCAGCTACGTGACTTCAACGCCAAATCACCTCTCCGCTAGATTGTCATGTGATGTCCTTTTCCCTGCTAAATTTAGCGGAGAAACTGAATGGGAGGAGGAGGGGAGGAGGAGGGGCACACCCTCCCTTATTCCTCCTCAAGAGTTGAGCTCTAATTTCGCATTACAAAGATTTGTAAACATCTTTAATTTTTTTTAATTCCCTTTCTTCGGCTTTTTTTTTTTTTTTTTTTTTTGTTATCCCCCGTTTCCTCTCATCTCTCAGACATTACCGACGTCTCTACACAAACCGCCTGTGGGTGACCCCGGTGGCGTTGTTGACAGTGGCTGAAGATGAGCTCTATAAAGCCGCCCGCGTACACCGCGCACGGTTCCACAACTTCACAAAGTTCAATCTTCGCCTCGATTCCGAAGCGAAGATTTTGCCCTCAAATAACTCGTTCCCAAAGTTGTGAAATGTCACTTTGTCGTCACCAATAACTTCCACAAACGACGATCTTGCGACGAGAAAGTTAGAGTATTTACCGGCCGCCTAGGTACAATCTACGCATCATTGACTCTAACGCGGCGTAGGGATGTAGGGACACTCGGGCGAGACGTCATCAGTGCAGCCGTTCAATCGGCTGGCACCACGATGTTGCTCGCACGCGCTTCGATGGAGCTCGCTACGACTTTGTGTTTTACATTCTCGCTGGAATTTGAGGACCGAGAAGGCTTGGATGATTGACACCTCGCTCGGCTTGACGTCAGCGTCGCGAGGGTCCAATTAGCGCGTTCCGCAACTTTCGGACACAAAGTTGTGCTCGACGAGTTTAGCTACCCTGGTGTTCAAGGAGTTGCTGAGTTTACTTTCTGACCAACTGATGCTTGTTAAAGCATTCGACCTGCCGAAAACCCACTACGATTGAAATTTTGTATTTGTTTATTTATTTAATAGTACCTGGAAGACTCTAAAAGAGGTAATTAAACGAGGGGTGGGCAGCTGATATTTGTAGGTAAATAAGAAAATCATATACACTCATGCACATCAAAACAAAAATAATCAACAAAATATTAAAACAGAATATGAAAAAAGTTTAAACACACTTAAATTCAAAAATACTAGTTAATTGTGGATTTTAAAACTTTGCCTAACATTTTTTTAAGTACATTTACATTGTTAGTTTTGACTATGTTGTTGGGCAACGCGTTCCATTTAATTATTGTGAAAGGTATGGAACAATTAGCGTAACAAATTGTGGATGCATATATCGGTTGTATTTTACAGCTGTTATCTAATCTCGAAAAAAAAAAGAAGTATGAGGAGGATATACTTTATTTATAATTGGTGTATCATGGTGTTAAATCTTGTAAAACAATGTCGATCGAAATCTTTTCCGCCTTAAAGTGAGTTCAGGGAGGTTAGCTCGTTTACGCAGTTCAGACACGCTTGTGTAGAAAAAGTAATCGGAATAAATAAATCGCAACGCTCTTTTTTGGATACTTTCTAGTTAATCTTTCAGATACGTTTGCCACGGAGGCCATATGAATGCAACATAGTCTAGTTTTGGGCGTACTAATGTTAGATGTGCCATTTGTTTTACTTCAAGGGGAGGGGGGGGGGGGGAGGAGTCTTAAACTCCGTCGCAAAAAACCGAGTGTGCTGTTCGCCTTAGCAACAATGTAATTGACGTGGGTGATCCATGTTAGACCGGTGGTAAGGCGGAGACCAAGGTATTTATAAGATGACGATGAACCTAGTAGAATATAGTGAATGCTGTAGATAAGAAGACGGTGAACAATGGTGAGAATAGGTGAGTACCTTGCATTTATCTAGGTTCAGTGACATCTGCCGATCATCACACCATTGTGCAATGAATGACAAGTCAGTTTGAAGGGACACAAAGAGGGAGGTCATTGATGTAGATTAAAAAAAAAAAAAGAAGTGGTCCGAGAACGCGTTCTTGAGGAACGCCAGATGTTACGTTCGTTAAGGATGATACTGAGTTATTAACAACAGAATGACTGCCAAATGGAGGAACAAAACTATTCCAATTTTATTGCCGACTATTACTTCGTCTAGTTGTCTTTCGTTAGATGAACCAATGCATTTCACAGTCTTCCATTTCTTCGCTCAGAAAATGAGTTCCACCCTCTAACGTTCAAGCTTCCTGCAGTGTTTGGAAGTCTCCATTAAGCTGCAATAAATGGTACGCCGTGTCCCTTTCTCCTCGCCTACTTCTCCCCCGTTTGTTTTTTTGCGCTTTACATTAAATATGAATAAATTCCACTATTCCACATTGTTGCCTTAGAAAGAATTCAGAGTTGTGCCGCTCGTTTCGTTTTGGTGCGGTACGGCCGCTTTGAGGGTGTAACCGACATGATAAAAGAACTGGGATGGTCTACATTGGCATTAAGACGAAGAAATTTGCGCTTGAAGTTTTTATACAACATTTATAACAATAAAACTGGCATTAATAGCTCATTTTACTTATTACCACCAAATTATATCTCAAAAAGAAAAGACCACATTCATAAAATTAGAGAATACCGCACCAGGACGGAATTGGGCAAAAATTCTTTTTTTTGTTAAAACAATTAAGGAGTGGAATGCCTTGCCCAGTGCGATTGTGTGTGCCGCGAATTCAGAAATGTTTTTTCAGAGTTTATTCGCCCCCTGCGATAATGCCTGATGGCGCTGCAGGACAATGATGAATAAAAAATAAAAAATACACGTATAAGAAACAACGCCGTCTAAGTGTTTATCGTGTTTAAACATAAAAAAAAATTGTAAACTTGTTGCAATCCTGCTTTCTTATTACCTAATTTTAATAATAGACAACACTACGCCCTCGTGACTCGTCCTCGTCAAACTTCAGGAAGCGCACTGCACCCATGTCATGCAGGTTTCACGTTTGAGCCTTTTCAATCACTGTCTGCACAAAATACTGAAATGCACCTTACACTATACACCAGGAATGGACAAGCTGCGGCTCCCTCGCTACTACCCCGCCCCGTCCCCCCCCCCCCTCCCCCCTTCCCCCGCTAACTCCCGGTCACGCGAGCACTTCCCCAAAAAGCGAAATGGAACGCGTTTTAAATCGAAAGACAGATTGCGGTTTGGTTGTCTTGGGCTACTGCTACCTGACGTACAGTTTGACTGCTTTTGACTCGGATAGATTGGAAGTAGTTCGAGTTTCGTTTATTGCTGTAAACAAAAGTTTGCCCCCCCCCCCCCCCCCCCCCCCCCCGCCCCCCGCGGCTCTTGGAAGTTTCGTGGTTTTGTTTGCGGCTCTTAGACCGGGTCAGCTTGGCCACCCCTGTTATAAACGAATAACGTCGGGAGACAAAAATATATGTTTAGAGCTACGCTGGGTGTTTAACAGTTTTCCTGAGCTCGGAGTCATACTGAGTTCAGAGGGGGGAAACCAAAATTGTTGTATAATTATACACCCATCTTATTTCCTCGCTAGATTTAGGAGGCGCGTGATAATAAAATGAGGGTAATAGCGCAAACTAGCCTGTAAACGGTTATACTTAAAAGAAGAAAATCAAAATCCGAGCGTTTGCTACGTTTAGGGCGTGTGTCGCTGTTTATGACATTTCGTTTTATATAAAATCCCAGCTTTAGAACTGTTTTCGGGCAAAAGATTGTTTGTAAATACGCGCCACTATCGTACGCAAACACAATCCTGTAAACGACTTAATTTTCGCGAGGATCTAACTCTCGCAAATTTCGCTAATCGCATACAATTCGCGAAAAAGAGGTCCCGCGAACAATTCCGGTAAAATGTAAACACATTGGAATCTATATGGAGATCCCACCGCGTCGCGAAAATTAGAACCCGCGAATTAGTTAAAAACTTCACCTTTGATGTAAAACGCGAAATATTGAGCCGCCGAAAAATAAGTCGTTTACAGTATTTGTATATTTGTGGGCAAAAAAAAAAAAAAAAAAAGAAAAAGAAAAGGCCTTCCATTTTTTGTTTTTTGCAACTTCGGTAGCGTAGGTCGAAGTCGGCAGTTTTCTGGAAACGAACTTTGTCGGCAGACAGTTAGAATATCGCACATACTTGAGCGAATAAAAAAAAAATGTAATTATTCATAATTAAAACAGTGAGACAAGGGAAATAAAAGGCGACCTACACATGACAGTCTCATGTGGGGTGGTGGTATGTATGTCCAATTTTATTTCCTTTATTTCAAAACGTTTTTTTAAAATATGATTATGCACCAGCTCACCCGCGTTTTGATTCTTATTTCAGGTCATCCGTGCATCATGCCAATGCTGTAAGACCTATCGAGCAGGTTGCTTCAAGTGTCCAACCAAACTTGATTCCCCATGGGCGCTATAGATAAAAATACAATTGCAAAATAACAACAAAAAACAATCTCCGGTGAACAACAGTACTGGTATATGATACAGCAAAATATATAGAAATATTTTTCTCATTTTGAAAACTCGGACAACCCGAAAATTGATGAGCCTTATAGGCGACGAGGATCAAAATCCCTCGTGACTTCTAAACTTCCTTTCAGTAGAGCTCCGCAAGCGGCGAAAACTATATTTCCCACAGCGAGCGAAAGAAAGCGTCTCAGCGAGGCATGGGACAACGTCATGTTGTAGGGCGTGCCTCCTGTACACAACCGTCACGTGCCTCTTTTCACCACTCACATTCCCTTACGGGTACCGTAGTTTTTGCCCTCGCGGTATGTAGGCGATGCTGACACATTGTTCTCCCTTAGACACCCTGCTATCGCAGTGACTTTGCATGAAAACTAAGGAAAAACAAATACATGGCTCGTTTTGGAAAAGTTTTTACCGGGAGCACGGCAATCAATGACCCACCAGGACTACTGCCTACTTCCGTCACTGCACACGTGACTTCCCATACGCGGTTGCCCACAATGGCCATTAGAGCCAGCGTTGGTAGTGATTCCGTGACAGTGCACGCGCAAGGTCGTCTTCGTTGTGCTCCGACGACCAGTTCCAGTCGCAATGTCCGTGGCCCTGTTCAGCAGCGAACTTAGCGTTCCCTGCCGCGTAGTGAGGATGGTAGCCAGGCACATTAACCTACCCGTCACCATCAAGGACGTCGACGGCCCCGACCGCGATAGGTTTAAGGAAGAGCTCCTCAAGGTAAGAGGGGCATGCGTTTGGCATTCTTTTTTTAAAGGCTCAGAACTCAGAGCAGAAGAGAAAAACCTAATTTTAATGTTTCACCTCAATTTAAAAAAAAAACAAAAAAAAAACACACACACAAATCGGACCTCAATATTTCTCCTCTAGACGAATTTTTTTTTTTTTAATTTTACTTCTTGTCACTGACGATAGTTGTTCAGTCGTGCCGGAATACTGACACTCACGCAATATGAACTACAGAAGACTTTGGCAGATGCCAAAGTACGTAAAGGTGTCCTTTGTCTTAAAGTGCTTTGATGCTGTGTGGATCTTCTTTAACCAGTAACAACGGCTAAAATGCGTACATTATAGGCACATTTTGCGCAAAAGAACTTGGTATTCTCGTTTAATCTGTCCGCTTTACGCCGTCATTTACTTCGCAAAACCTGCGTCCGGTACAGCAATTTACGCTATGAAGATGTCGATACTTGTAAGAAGCCAAAAGCGCGCCTTTTATCTTTGAACTTTATTTCGACGTCTGGCGCATTCGATGGTTAGTGTCATTTATGTTCATGTTAATTAATGAAGTCGCTCCTACTCTTTCTTGAATCAGACGAGAGTAGGACTTCAATCTAACCTGACACTGGGAAAATAAATGACCAAACTCTTGTCTCTAACTAAGCGGAACCGTTATTTCACAAAATTGATTATATAGGCGCATGAAACCCTCTCCATGTCTTTCAAATTATTTTTAAATAAAGAAGTAGCTAATCTTGAAATGGTGGAGCGCTTTTTTGTTTCCAGTTTTGTATAAATTATGGAAGTCGTACGCAAGCCTGATTGCGTTTTTAATTTATAAAAAAAATTGAGGGAAATGAATTGACGGAAAGAGTTGTTATGCAAAGTCTGGAGGATCGTCGGAGAAATGTGAAGGGCTTTTGTTTAATCATAAGTTCGGAAACAAAGTGCTCCTTCTCGTTTTATTTGTTTAGCTTGTATCTATCTCCGCACTTTATTGAATTGCAGTTCGTATACTTTGTTTGTTTAGCGCAAGAGCCCACACGTGTCCCAAAGTGTTTGAAAACGTGCATCGATCATTGCCTTTTATCTTGACATCAGCCGTTTTTCTAATGAGTTTGGTTGAATAATAACAAAACGGAATTATAATTTAATCGAGCGGTATAAATGGGTAAATCGCTGCTAGAACCATGCACCCGACTAGGTTGGACTCCCGAATATCTTAGTCATTATTTCATATTCACAAAATACTATGAGTAGAAATCTACCTTCCCTCTTTTTTCAAAAGAAAAAAAAATCATGAGAAGTGACTCAGGCCTAATAAAATTTCTGTTGCTTGGGTTCTCTTAGATGAATCCGCCTCACGCTGTGCCCGTCCTCGTCGATGGCAGCTTCACTCTCTTCGAAAGGTACGACCCCTCGCATTGAGGAGCAGGGTTCTTCTTCGACCTTAGTGACTTCCTTTGTCACAGTCACGCCATCATCACCTACCTGGTGGACAAGTATGCCAGCGGCAGTCCCTTGTACCCGGAGGACATCGAGACACGCGCCGAGGTCATGAGTTACTTGATGTTCGACGTGGGCACCCTCAGCAGGAGAATGATCAACTACTTCGTGAGTATGATAGTACTCATTTGGATAACAGCCTAATGATATTTTTTTGTCATTTCGTGGGACAATGTAAAGTACGAAGATATCGTGAGTTTCGCATGGACACTAAAATGAACCAGTTGCTAAACGCTAAAGTTTTATCGCCGAAATTAATTAGGGAACATGCTACTCCCATAATTTGAATACTATAGTTAAGAAAACCAATATGAAAGTTCCACACTACAATAACACTCGTTGGCCAGAGGTAAGACCACTGCGGCTGTTCCTTGTAGTGTCGCTCTAGAAATCTGAATAGGGTCTCCGAGATTGCAGGTGGAGTGACTTGCAAGACGCCGCTGTCGTCCCGAGGCGCCTCGCTCTCCACTATTCACCTTCATAGCGATGTACTCCACACTTCATCGCTGTATCATCTTCTAAGGCACTGTTTATTAAAAAAAATGATGAGTAGTGAAATGTGGAAGAGACTCCCACAATTACGCTTGGAAGAGTGACGTAGTCATTTTAATCATGTCGTCACTGACTCGGCAGAATGCCCTTGGTGTGTGAGCCGGCCACCCAAGTGACGACGTGACTGTAACGATCACGTCACTCTTCTAAGCGTAATTGTGGTCAGTGCTTGTGGTACTCTTTTTGGCGTAATCTTCAGATCATAGGAAAAAAGAATATTCATAAATTAATATCTCACACACCATTATATTTTCTCAAATTGTTTAAATTGGTCTGGCCTCCCAATAGCAACTGGCGTCAATACTGCAATTGCAACAGGGTCCGACCCCTAGAACCAATAATTCACTAGTTAATAACAGATTTGAGTGAATTAGTAAACTGACGCTGGCGATTATCCCCTGATCTAACAATTTATTTTTTATCGGCCAAAACTGGTAAATACATAGTAAAGACGAACTCGCCCAACTCTCACCCCTTTTTTTTTTAAATAAGTATGTTCGAAATCACCCTATATACCCTACCCTGTTTTCCCAGTACCCGATCCTAGTTCACAAGGCGGAGCCCACCTCAGACGCCGAGACCCCGATGAAGGACGCTCTGCAGGTCCTGGGCTACTTCCTGTGCCACAAGCGGTACCTCGTGGGCGACCAGGTCACTCTCGCCGACATCGCCGTGGCCGGAACCCTGAGCTTCTCAGACGTAATCAAAGCTCCGTCTTCTTTCGTGACTACAGACCTTTCTAGAAAATCCCACAAGGCCTCTCGCCAACCCTACACTGCACTTCGCGCCGCGCGGAATTGTGGGGCAGTTCCGATGTACGCTTGGGACGGCTCGTACGGCAGCCTAGAATCGAGCCACTTCCAGGACGTACGGAGCACACATTCTGAAAGTGACTCGATTATTTCTCTCCTACCGCTGCGAGGTCAAACCACAAAGAAAGGAGAGCGAACGCATCCCGCAGCCGATACGCACCCTGTATATTTTTTGTCGCCCTGCTTTCTTTACGTTCTGAAATCGCAATATCGCGAATAAACACGAACCGCTTCTTCTATTTATGTGTACTCCCTCACGCGCCGTACATCGGATTGCCGTAGTGCATCAAAAACACGCCGGAAGGCGCTGTGTGTCTCCGGAACGGTCTATTCGCAGCATGCAGTCCCACAAACGTTTCCTTTACGCGCACCACCCATGTTAAATTTTTTTTTAACGAACAAATGTGCTTGTTGTGAGCATGCGCTGTGTACAGCCTGCTCAAATATACTGTCCAGTGAATGCTACCTGTTCAATGCATTTAAATGGCCGCAGTTACAGCGTGTCTTGGTGTCCAATACAGGCTGAAAGCAAAGTACTACAGTTTTCATTTGCAGACGATAAAAGCTGATGAATTTTGCAAATCACCGCGAAGAAGGCCACACGCCCATACTTTGTTTTTTTATCCGCACTTATTACATTTAGTTTCGCTGCGTCCTTCTACAGCTAAATCGAACTAAAGTAGTTCCCACTCTTATGACCACTTTCTTTTCACCCGAGAAAGCCTTGATGCTGCGGTATGCTGCTTCAGTGCGTGCTCCATCTGTCGCGAATACGCAGTCCCACCACTGAGTGTTTTAAACGTAAACTCAGCATGCGTTTTTTTTTTTTTTTTTAGGCTGCTGATTACAGCCTGAGCGCTTACCCAAGGGTTCAGCACTACTACCACTCCCTGAAGAAAGAGCTGCCATATTTCGTTGAAGAGAACAGCAAGGCTACTGAAATATTCCGGCAGACCGCGCGTTAGAACCGCGCACGGTTACCTTTTTCTAGAGCTTTGTTAAAACAATTTTCGCATTGTTCCCTCTGATTATTTTCATCATTGCGTATTGTTCGCAATATCATGCGTTGGTGTGCTGTAGGCACCGATGACAATAAAACATCGAAAACGACTTTTGTTTGTTTGGATCTCATGGGTGATGCATATTCAGGTTGGTTTATATAGAAAAAATTATTGAAAGTGTGCTGATGGTGTATACATTGTTCCCATATTCGTGGATCTACGAGAAACAAACACAGTCAGTCCTTGGTCATGGTAAGATAGACGAATAGGTGTGATGATCGCGCAGGCGAGAGCGGTCGTAATCTGGGGTATTAGTGCTATCTTGCACCCCTGGGTCATTAGGCGAGAAGTGGTGTTGCAGGCGTTGCCTTCGTCAAACCGGTGATGGCTGGCTGCTGACCGAGCACCTGGGTGAGCGGCAACCTACGGGTGAGGGTAGGACGATAGTGGTTCGGGACCGCGGATGCAGCGCGGAGCGCAGCTGTGCACTCTAAGAAAAAAGGGAGCGTGACTTGCTCCCTTAGGGGAGCAAATACGCTGACACAACCATCGCTCCCCTAGGGGAGCAACTGTAGCGGGAGCAACTGTTGCACCCCGTCCGTTAGTCCCTCACACTAGCACCCCCAGGACCAACTGTTAGGCCCTTGCACTTGGACCCCTGGGACTAACTGTTAGGCCCTTGCACTTGGACCCCTGGGACTAACTGTTAGACCCTTGCACTTGGACCCCTGGGACTAACTGTTACACCCTTTCAAATGAACCCCGAGGACCAACTGTTAAGCCCTTGCACTTGGACCCCTGGGACTAACTGTTAGGCCCTTGCACTTGGACCCCTGAGACTAACTGTTGCACCATTTCAATTGAACCCCGAGGACCAACTGTTGAGCCCTTGCACTAGGACCCGTGGGAGTAAATGTTAATCCAAGACATTTGGTCCCCGGGGACTAAATTTTAATCCTTTACATATGATCCCAAGGGACCAAATGCTTAGTCTCCTGGGACTAAATGTTCCCCTGTTTCGAACCGTGGTTAAAAGCGCTAAAAAGACGAACACAAGAGAGAATACAAACAAAGGAGCTTCTCTCTTGTGTTAATGCTTTTAGCACTTTTAGCCATGGTTCAAAACGTTCATCACCAACTAGCACAACAAGTACTTTTAGCTCCCCTAATGATGGACTCAATATTGCAGTGTTGGGAATGACATTGTGTGGTTCAAGACAAGAATAGCTTTATTTTTGCATAAACATGTGTTCGACATTTTAAACAATTAGTACATGGCGCAGCACTTCCCTTTAAACTAAGGCGAAAAAAATTGAGTATTACTTTTCCAGGAAACTGGACTTCATATATACCTTAAATCCTCATTTACTTCTTCTGCCACATGGCATACAGACGTTTAAAAAAAAAAAAGTCTAATTTCACATTTGGCAAAACAATAAAAGCAGAAACTTGATAAAATGAGCGTGCTCGTCGAGTTATGGGATATTGAGGAAAGCAAGAAAATGGGACAGAAACGGGACGAGACATCTTTGCTGGTTTGTCCACAACTACAGCTTAGAAAGCTTAGAGAAGCCTCCCCCTTCATCCCACTTCGAGGTCAGTTCCTTCATTCCCTTCCCTTCCCCCCCCCCCCCTCCCCCCTCCCCCGCACCCCGCCTATCATTACCTATCTTTCTGAAGCAGGCTGTCGCCACGGCTACCGCGGTACCTGTGGGTCAAACATGTTCCTTCCTCCTCATCCTCCCCTCCTTTCCCCTATCTCCTTGGGTATCCGCTGCGATGGTTGTCGTAGATGGACCAGCAATAAATGTGTTTGCTGCCAGTTGGAAAGATGTCTCGTCCCATTTTTGTACCACATTTTGTTGCTTTATTCAATATCCCAGGAAAAGCATGTGGAAGGTATTCTTGAAATAAACTGAGCACCAGCTTAGCCATTGATTATGCCAATTGCCATCAGCACAAGGGGGCTGGCCACGAGCCCACTGTCAACTCCTATCATATGGGACAAGAGTTGAAACGTTCTGGTCGCCTTTGGAGGAAATTCCATATTCAACGCCCAATACAGCGCAGTCATTGTGCTCACTGCAGCCAGAAGAGTTGGTTCTGCGATTTGCAGCTCATCAACAGACACAACAAGTGAGGTGGCATCATAGATGCTGCTGCCTTCGTAGCCCACAGCTGGATATGTTGGAAGTTCTGCAGGGTCCTAAAAAAAGTGTAGAAACAAGACAAAATTATGTTAAGAGGCGCTGAAGTTCATAAAATTCTTGAGATTGCAGTTTTCTTTTTAACTACAGCCCTTAGACTGATTTTATAAGATTAACACGCAGATTGCATCCCCACATGCCTTACATGAGATGGCATTCTGGCCATGACACCAAAACACAAAACATCCCACAGTGAAATGTGTGCTGTTGCATACCTTCATTACCATCCTACTACATTTAATTATTGCTCTAGAAGGTCAGCTGTCATTATAAGTCGAAAGGACGAGGATGAGAGAGAAAGAAGTACACAAAAGAAGCGCTTGTGGTCACTCTCCCTCGTTTTTGCTCTTGGCGCTTGTGTTTATAATGAATAAACATATAAGCAACTAGCCTAACAGAGAATTTTTGGGCAGCTGCTGCATACCAAGCACATCCATTTGCATCACTACAACCTTGTAGATTTCCACTTCCTCAGAACAAACATTTTTCTCCCCATGAAAACATATGCTTGTTTAACAAAGATATTAAATTCCAAAAAAGCAACAAATAAAGCATACAACATTACGTAAATACATTCTTAAGAGGGTACTCCACCAATTTTTCGAGCTACCCAGACTAATAACTTATTCTAAATACCCAGGCTTTGCTCTTCCAGGCCCGCTACTCAGTTTCTTTAAACTCAGCATAGCTATTGAGAAAATGCATAATCAGTTGATGCCAAAATCAACATTCAAGGTTCTGCGTGCTTACCAGTGGCGTGACGTCACGGGCGATAAGACTTAGATTGAGCCAGCACATTAGGAAACAGGCTGTGCCGCAACTTTTTAGTGAAGGCTGGAGTAAGCTTCCCTAGCCTTCATTTCACGCCATAAAATGTCTTGTAACCAGTAAGAAACCAGTTTTACTGCCTTCCCCTCTTTTACACACACACATACACAGCATCAAGTTTTAAACTTCAATAAGAAGATTAAGCGCAAAAAGAGAAAACTATTTAAAGCTTGTGAAATCCTGCCCCACCTTTTTTACTCAAACAGTGATTGTATGCAGAGGGCGAAGTGAAGAGGTTGCTCAGAAGAGCTTTTTCAGAATATAAGGTAAACTTGACGTTGGTTCAAGTCCCAAGTGATTCAATGCACTAGAGGGGCATTCGCGGCGAGAAGTGACCAAGAAGGGTAGCCAGCGCGTCGACCGGCCTGATACTAGCTAATTCATCACAACCAAACTCAGGGGAAGCAATTTTCGAACCCTCCCTTGGCTGCAACTCCCTTGATCCCTTCCGCAAAATAATTTAGAGTTAAGCTAGAGATGTGGTGTCAGTCCATCACTTTACTAACTTTCTTATATACAAATTATTTATCAACTAGCAAGTAGTCTTTATTTTAAAAGCACCACAAGGTGCACAAGCCCTTTTAACTTTTATTTACCAGATTCTTGCTCCACAAACCCAAAGCCGGGGACGGCTTGTTGTCGTCAGAGCGCTTAGGAAACTTGGGCTTTTCTGGAGAAATGATTGGAGGATACAATCTGTTTTGACTCCACCGCACTGCTAAGTACTGTGAAACTGCTAGTAAACATTGAGGTACAAACTAAAAATCTCTGGACTCCTGTCAATCCATTTTGTTTGCTACCGCACCGGCAATATCCAGCCACGAAAGTCGCCCAACAGGAGAGCCACAGAGTGCTTGGCGGCATCCGTTTTGCTGGAATCGCGAATGTAACGCAATATCCCGAGATAGCCCACTCAAAACTGAGGGCACATTAGGTGAAAATAGGGGGTGAGCTAACCTTCAGTGTGCAAAATTTAGCCCACCTTAAGAAATGGAGATTCATGCAGAAAATAAGGATGGGCTATATTTCAGGGGATGGGTCTTCTCTCGGGATATTAGGCTTCAAAGCTATGAAAGAGTATTAATGTCCTGTTCCAATTACATTGCTAATTGTTAAAAAGCAACTCCATTCCATTTTTACGACTACTGGGTTACAATTAATTTAACTAAGTCGGCGACCCCGAAACACGAGATATAATTTTTCCGGTGGTGTGTATAGTATTGTAAATATCAGATGTCAAAGTTTCGTGTGGGCGACTTGGCGAAGCCAAAACTAGCAGCGTAGCACGTTGCCAACACTTATAATGAGATGCCGTCGACGCTGTGACGCAATTGTCATCCAGCGGTCCCGCTATACGCATGACCGGCTCAGTTGCACGAGGATTTTCAAGACATAGAGTAAGCTGCTCATTTCTTTTTCTCTTCCTGCTCCGCTTCGTAAATGAACATCAAATGCAGTAAGTGTTAGTATGTATTTATAAAGTTTCCGCTTGTAAAGCGACTGCTATGAATAATAGGACACGTGCAGTGCAGGTGCAGCGCGGCTGTATCGGTATAATTGTGTGTTGCTCGCGAACAAAAAGAAGGAAGAATGGGAGACAGATGCTGTTCACAAGCAGACACATGAAGGCTGGGTGCCTTCATGTGTGCTCATGAAGGCACCCTAGTGCAGGGGTGGAACTTCTAAAATGTACTTGGGAGCAGCTGAAACAGCTGTTTTGGAGGAGGTTGGGGAGCAGCTAAAACTATGTTCTAGAGCAGGCTCGGAGCAACTCAGATCAGTTTTCACTGCACTTCAGCTTGTGCCTTAGACAAGCACGGGAGAAATTTCAATTGTGCTTAGCAGCATAAATGAACATGAGTAGTTAGAGACCTAGGTAAATGGGATAACAGTGTAACAGATGCGAAAACTTGAAACTTTGTGAGCCCT